ATCAATTCATAGACTCATAGATTCAAGGGTTGATCCCAGATTTTCAACCTCAATTTATCTCTTTGTCGTTCCTTCAACTCACTCCGCAAAGCCAACACCCTAGAATTGTTGCAAGAGTCCAGTCACTCCAATTGACTTTGCTGGAAGTGAAGTTTTGATGGCAGTACTCAGGATGAGACTGGAGAAGAAGGTGTCCTTGTTATGCCTGACGAGGGCCGCAAGAAGGTCAAGGTGGGTACTCGAGTATCAGCTGAGAAGCTGCGACGGAATGAGCATGAGACCAAAGATCAGATGAAGAACAACTTTGAGAATTTGAAGAAGGGTCAGGAACTGGAGAGCAACACCCAGGCCCAAAAAGCTGGAAAACAAAGTCCAAAGATGTCCAAAGTCAACGATTGTACTGAATTGCAATGTACTGGATGTACTTGTCAAAATTCAGACATCGAGTCATTGAGTCTAATTTTCCATTCGACATCAATATCTTAAATATCTAGTGACAAGTGATATATCAATAATATCAAGCATAATATCATATCAATCATATCACTGACTTCTATCTGACATTCTGCTTGTAGTATGCAAACTCTGCATACTGAACATGTGTTGAGAGTCAGAGTGAATCAAATCAATCTCGTTCAGGCAGTGGCAGCAGACGCGATTGCCAAGCTGCGAATGGAGAGGTGAGTGAGGAGGAAGCGGCTGTTGTGGCAGAGGCTGAATCAGAAGACTCATCTGATGGAGACACGGGAATCGGCTTTGGCAAGGTGGCAGGAAGTCAAAAAACGCAGGAAGACAAAGAAGCCTGACGACGACCCTGTCGTGAATGGTGATCAACGACCTGCACCCAAGGCTGTGAATAAGAGGAAAGCCAATCCTGATGTCGAGTTGAAATCTGCCCTGAGTGCTGCGGAGTCTTGCATTTCAGCTCTTGGTGCGGTGCAGCCTCTCCAGGTTTGGACAGGGGCAATCAAAGTCAAAGAGGTGGACAAGCGCTTGGATGTGGCCTACCACTGCCAGGTCAGTTTGGAGGAGCACATGCTGCTGACAGACGCTGCCGCTCAGGAGGCTGGGAAAAACTGACCTGGCCCAGAATGTCACCGAGTTCATGGATTGCATGGTGCCTTTCATGGACGTTGAAGGATCGATCAGGAGGGCCTCTAGTATGGACGATGATGACATTGCCAAATTTGCAAGCTTGATCCCACTGGACTGCACGCACTCAATGTTGGTTGAAACTGCAAAGAGGATGCTGGAGGACTCTGAATTTTGATGTTAAGATTTAAGATCAATCCAGTCATCATTATTGTAAGTAATAGTACACTTTGAAATAAGGCTTGATCATAGAAGCAAAGATAGGTAGTGTTTGCACTCATGTTCCACGCACCATTGTCGTACCCATACTGTACCCCAGGGGACTGGACCCTGTACCGTGTACCCTGTACCCTGTACCGTGTACCCTGCACCCTGTACCCAGTATATGAACCAGTACACATCCTATACCACGTCTGTGTGAAGCGCTGTAGGAGAAGAGTGGGGGCATCTTTCCTGGCACGGGCTTCTTTCTGTATATGTTGCTGAGGGAACCTCCTTGCGGCAATGACTCATGCTACA